GCACTCAATAATTCAGTGACCTTAGCAGTGAAAAGGATCAAGGACTGGGAGATTTCACGGGACAATTTTAAGAAGAGGATGCAGAAAATAAATGAAGTGAAGCATGCGAATGTGTTGCCTATTGTTGCCTATTATTGCTCTGAGCAGGAGAAGCTCTTAGTTTATGAATTCCAGCAGAATGGCAGTCTCTTCAGACTCCTTAATGGTAAGCCAAAGTACTTCTCCTGGCATTTGATTCCTCATAGTCTTGAATTGCACAATTTTTATGTGTAGATGCTTTAACTTCTGCAATATCTAGTTTTGAAACCAAACAGTAGTGTGTCAAATGTCGAGGAGAAAGGTTCATACAACATGCTTCATTCCTTTTCACAAATTTTCTTAGACTTCACCAACATATCCTTGTTATGTACTCTAGAGAACTTGGGCATCTAGTTCTTTAATCTCTATCAATCTTTAAGAATAGAAAAAGGGAAATTAGAAAGAAACTGTTTCTAGATGAGGAAATTAGGTCTTTGACAATTAGGTTATATATGATTCTCTTTTCTGCATGGTCCCAGAACAGATGCAACAATTGATTGCAAAAGTAGGTAATCACCAAAAAGGGCAAAATGGAATCTAATGGTGATATTTGTATCTCCAGAAAACCAGAAAAGTGAGATGTTTGATTGGGGAAGCAGATTAAACGTTGCAGCTAGTACTGCTAATGCATTAGCTCTCATGCATCAGGAGCTTCACAATGATGGCATTGCACACGGAAACCTTAAATCCTCCAACATATTGATGAACAAGGATATGGACCCCTGCATTAGTGAGTATGGCCTAAAGATGCTTGAGAATCATGATGAACAATTTACTACTCAAATTGAAAGCATAATGGATAGTGATTCACAAGGCAGCAAGAAAATCTTCAAAGCCGACATTTATTCCTTCGGTGTAATTCTCCTTGAGCTGCTGACAGGCAAGCTTGTTCAGAACAGGGCATCTGACTTGGCTAAGTGGGTACATTCAGTAGTGAGAGAAGAATGGACAGCTGAAGTTTTTGACAAGGCACTGATTTCAGAAGGTGCAAGTGAAGAAAGGATGGTTAATTTGTTGCAGGTGGCTTTGAGGTGCATAAATCCTTCCTTAGATGCAAGGCCTAGCAGCAGTCAAGTTGCTGTGATGATAAACTCTATAAAAGGCGATGAAGAGAAATCCACAAATACAAGCATTGAGCTCTAACTTCTGATCATAAATGTTCAGCCATCACGCTTCCTTGAAATGACAGGAAGATATGTTGATCTAATATCTGAATGCAATGCTTCCTCTTCATGCAATCTCAGATACCATGAAATGATTGATTACTACACTGCAGATATGCATGAGCTCTCAAGATGTGGTTAAAAAAAAATTCTTTTCTGTATTCATAATAACTTTTACTACTGTATTTATGGAAAATTTTGACATTTATCTTGTAAAAGTGTAATTTTTTTGTCCAGATTTGGTGTTACTATATTATCAGCTTTGCTCAGCCTGCTGTTGAATGTTTCTCAGTCTGCAATAAAAGGTGTCTTTTTCTTTTGTCCTCTAGAGCAAGTTGAAGAAAGCTTCCCTCCTAAAGCATCCTTCTTCGCTCTTGCGCCCTGTCTAAACTCGGTCAAAAAAGCCGCCCCAAGTGGTGAACCAAAGGAGGTCTTTGGCCCTTGTCCTCACTCTGATCAAGGATCTTGCGGTAAGGGAGATGGGATATTGATCCACAACTATTGACAAAAACAAAATCTTATAAACTTCAACAAAATGTTGCCAGTTAATTGTTGTGAATTTACTGATTCAACATAATATTGATCGGATGAAATTCCCGGGGTAGGAAGACAAGGATCAGAATAAATTCTTCTCTGTTTAACTTGCCTTAACAGAACCGGATTGTTTAGCTCTCTCCCTAATATGTATACTTTCACAATTCTACACATGAATATGATGTTTGTAACTGTAAACCTACTTAACTGAAGTTGAACAAAAATTTAGCATTTGCACTGCCCATTTTCCTTATGAGATGATTTAACAGTGTCAATCACTATAATGCACTGCAAAAGCTAGGTCAATTTGATCCATGGTCCCCAAGCTGATATTCTCTTGTTTTTCTTTGGAAAGATCCCGTAGGACACAATAATGTCTATCTATAATATGATTTTCTTCCAATTGAAATGACCTGGGGTTTTCCCAATTACATGACTCCCTAAAAATCAGATGGTTGCATATACAGTTGGAGAAATGAAAGGATTAAAAGTTCCCAACTTCCTTGTTAACTTGGCTTAATGTCAAACAAAGTTAGGCTACGTTCTATCTGAATGATTAGTCATAATCCCCCACTTCGAAGGACAATAATGGTGGATGGTTTTGTCACCGCACGCGTTGCTTTGTGTCATCTCATGCTCAAATGTATGGAAAACAATGAGATACAATAGAGTCTTGCATCTCCATTTTTGCTCGTGTTCTCCGGGCAAGCATTACAAGTTTAGGTAAATTAGTTTCAGGCTCTTAAAACTTGACTCAATATCTAATTTGGTCAACAATTTAAATACAAAGAAGGAAATAAGTACAGGTGTCGGTGAAGTCAATTGTACAAAATTTGTTTATTTTTTTCCCTTTTTTCTCTCTGACTTGCTTTTTTGATGGGTGAATCATGAATGAATCCTAATGAATAGAAAGTTTGAAAGTTGGTAATCAAAATTATTCTCCACAGGGTTGGTGGACTGCTTAATCATTGCTGATATACTTTTGGCTTACTCGTCTATACAAAAGCATCACAAAAGCAGTGTGAATGGGAGCTTTGTTTAAAATTTAACTTCTTGAAAACCTTGACTAATTTAGGTTGCTGATATCCTTTTAACTTCTCCCCCTCTCATTCTCCCCTTCTTTTTCTGCATTATGGCCGGCAAAGCAAGCACGAATATGGTGTTTGTAAAGAAAATAATTGCAATGGATGTATACTGAAAAATCAACTGATCCCCTTTTTGCATTGTAGGATCCCCTAATATATAAATCGAGGATACAATTTGATCGCTTAGCCATATTGATAATATGCAAATAGGAACAGAACAAAAAAAAAAAAGAAAAAAAGTAAAGGTACACCAAAGAATTCAGGACAAACGAGAAGGGACACAAAATGTAGGGCGGTGAAAGTGACATATGTAGTACATTTGGTGAAGTAGGGAAAATTGCATCACTCATCCTTCACATGTTATAGATGTAAAATTTTAATCGCTCATAATCAAAATGAGTGTTTTTAGTTCTTAAAAAATAAAAAAATGCTTTGGTCCCTTGTCATCTTTTCAGTCAAATTTTGGCCAGAATAGGTCATGAGCACATCACATGATCAGTTTTTGAAGGGAAACCTTAGCAACTCACTAAGTGATGATCCAATTTCTCACTTAATCTACCATTTTTCCCAATTATGCTCCATCCAAACCCTAATTTTGCAAATCCAAATGTACACAATCCATTTCTCTCTTCCACCATGATCCTCCCATGTCATTCTGACTTCCACCATTGCCACCACCAACCCCCTAATCCCTTCTTACTCCTATCCCGCCACCTCCTCCCCTTCTCCCTCCATCGTCCTCTTCTTCCTCTATCTTTAATGGTCTTGTAATTAGGTCCATCTCTTTCACCCTCTATTTTTTAAATTACATGGAAATGGGTCTTGTAAAGTTTCAAACCTTTGTTCTAAATATGTTGATTCGTCAGGTTATATGGTTGATTTTGGGACTTGCTAATGTTCTATGTTTCATGTGGGTTGTTTTGTTAAAAATTTCATGAGTTTTGGTGATGTTTTTGAGGGGAAAAAATGGGAAGCAACTGCAGCTGTTTTGGAGATTTTGACCATTTTTTTTTGTATGGTTTTGCTAAAAATATTGCCGGATTTATAATCTATACAAAAAATAGAGTGGAGTGGTAAAATTTGAGAGAATTCTATAACTAGAGAATAACGGCCTGCAGTGGCACTATACTAAAATTTGCCATTATAGATCTTATGAGCTTTGCAAGAAAATAGGAGGAATAAGATGATAGAGAAAGGAAAAAGAAATGAAAAAGAAAGAAAGGAAGAAGAAAGAAAATAGAGAAATTAAGTTTTTATTGAAACTACGCCATTTTGGTTATTTGTTTGGCATTTGGAGAATAATTGAGAGAAATGGTTAATTAAAAAATAATGGGGCATTAAGTGAGTTATCAAATTTGCCTTTAAATATTGATCATAGTTATCATATTTGCCCTTTAAATATTGATCATGTGATGGATCGGTAACTTTTTCTAGCCAAAATTTAACCAGAAATGTGAATAGGGACCAAAATAAATATTTTTTATTTATTAGGGACTAAAATCGCTCATTTTTATCCTAAAGGACTGCGGGTTGGTGCAATATTTCCGGTGAAATTTAGTGATGACCCAAATTGAAACCATAATGTTGAGAAATAGTGATCAAAGTCATTAAGCAATGTCTTGAATAGTATCTTGCACTTGTCACCTGCTATTATCAGCCTTGTCTCCTTTTTGCCTCCCCCAAAATGCTTGTACCCAAAATTGACAACAACATATCAAAGAATATTTGTATCATGGATATTTCAATTTCACAATCTTGATGTCTCATTACAAGAGATTGGCTTTGATCAGTTACTGATTTTTCTGCACAATCAGAGGTAGGCCAACAGTAACCTGCAAACTTTACTATCACTCCTTGAGATTCTCCCTGTATTATCAGTTTCCCTTAACTATGTTCTGCAATTCTAATCAGACTCTCATCTTGATATGGTATTTCAATTTAATTATTTTTTTACCTTTTTCTCCTATTCATAAAACAATTTCCTGAAACTCATTCTTGTATTCTTTAGTAAGTCCCCTTTTTTTTTCCAATTTTTATTTTCATACTTTTCAGGATTCTAGATCAGACCACTTAGATAAAAGTTCCCAGTTGCTTACCATCTGAGGAATAATATCTCTTTTCTGATGCTTTTCCTCCTGTATCCTCTACCTAGAGATTCTACCCCATATTGTAGGTAATAAAATATTCTCTTTTAAGCATACCAACTCTGGAGATTCTTAGAGAATTTGGCAATTTGGATAACCAACTTGAAGAAAAAGGTGAGACATCTCTTCTTACATTCTTCTCTTCCTGCCCATTGCAGATTCCTCAGAGAGTTTTCCACTTTATCTCAGAAATAACAATTCCATCCATGGGCAAAATCAGTCCAATAGTTCTACTAGTTATAATCATCCTAGCAGTAATATTCTTTGTCTATGGTTTGCTTCATCTTCTCTTTAGATATTTCATGAAGATACCATCTTTTTCAGCGGTTTCTCAATCCAATAGAAACAGAGAAACCTCAGGTTCCCATGCTCTTCAAAGACAGCTGCAACAACTCTTTCATATGCATGATTCTGGCCTTGACCAAGCTCTTATTGATGCGTTACCAATCTTTTATTACAAAGACATTATGGGATTGAAGGAGCCATTTGATTGTGCTGTTTGCTTGTGTGAATTTTCTGACCAAGATATGCTAAGATTACTTCCCCTTTGCAGCCATGCTTTTCATCTAAATTGCATAGATACTTGGTTACTATCAAACTCTACCTGTCCATTATGTAGAAGTGTCATTAGCTCTGGGACTCCTATTGGAAATAAGCCTTTGTTTAATTTTCATGGATCAAGAGAAAGATCGAATCGCTCTTTGGTGGACTCTGAGAATGAGCACTATTGCAACCACAAGCCAGATATTATGCAAGAAAGCGCAAGCGAAATGAGAGTTTTTTCTGTTAGGCTCGGCAAGTATAGAAGCATTAATGAAGAGGGTAGGAATGGAGACCATAGAAGTGATCAGATGGAAATGATCAGTAGCTGCAACTTGGATGGAAGGAGGTGCTACTCAATGGGCACATTTCAGTATATAGTTAATTCTGAGATGCAAGTGGCTTTATCCGATGGAGGTAGTCTGAAACTAATCAAAGGTAGTGTTGATCAAGGAAACTTTGCGCCTGACAATACGGAAAGAGAAGGAAAGAAGATCTGTGCTAGGACTAGAAGGGAGAGCTTTTCTGTGTCCAAGATATGGCTTTGGTCCAAGGAGGAGAGTTCTCAAAGCTTATCCGAAAACACATTAAATGTGAATTCTTTTAATGTTGATATGCCTATGATTGAAGGAACTCACTAAATATCTGCATCATCTTCTTGTTGCATTTCAATTTTAAATAGAGAAATTAATAATATATATGCATCCAAAGGTTATTCATGTTAGGATGATATGTTTTGTCTTCTTGAGTTGAAGTATTATATTACGGTCAATTTCTTAGGAAACAAAACTAATTATAATGATTGTACATTAAAATGACTCGAGTTTTGTTGAGTAGATGATTTGATTTCTTAAAGGCTTGATGCAAAATGTCTCCTCAAACTTTCACATCTATAAGGTTTGCTCTTTAAACTATCGGTAGAAGATTAATTAATACTATTAATTTGTTTCGTGTTACACACCAGCACGTGGATTTGGTTGGTTTTACTTAAATGCAGAGACTATAGAAATCACAAAATGGATGGCTTGCCAAAATACCATTATAAATGTAAAATCGCTTCAAATTTTGCTGAGATTGGAAACCAGAGCAATGAATAGGAGAGGTGAGAATCAGAACTCCCATTTCCATGCAAAGCATCACTTGGTGGTTTATATCCTTTTCCAAAAAGATCCTTTGTTTTAAAACTAAAATGACCTTGTCTAGCACTTGGTGTCACTCAGGGCAGGTGCCTAGTACAAAAAATTTGTCTAATAAGATTTGTGCAACAAGGAGTTGTATTCTCTTGGTCCGAACAAATGGTAAGATCTCTATGCCCTTGGTGGAATCCTAGGTCGTGGTAAATTTGTTTGGATCTTGGCTTGGCACTTGATCCTCATTCTCTCTCTCTCTTTTTTTTTAAATAAAAGTTCGAGTGAATACGATTCCGATCACCCTTATGAGTTAAGTATGTCCTAAGAACGATAAGTTAGCTAATAAGGTTCTTATAAATTGCAAATCAGCACAGCCCTCACATGCGGCATATTTCAAATATAAGATCTTTTATGAGGAAGTGGGTCATCCTTGCTAACTAGTTAGCACTTGATCCTCATTCATGTTCTACTTCATGCCTTTTGTGCGAATGACAAAATGTTCATAATCATCTCCTCCATTCCGTTCATAATTACCTCTTGTCTTACATGAATTGTCTAGTCAACCTCATAGTCTCATGCACATGGTCTCTACAGAACTGTTGACGGACACAGAAAAGAATAGGGACTAGCAACTCTCTCAACTCTGTAGACAATGTGTGCATGATCCCTATTTGCTAGATCAATTAATAAACAGACAGGTCTAGAAATGCAATTTAGCCCAAGGAAGCCCAGAACAAACAGATTATGCGACTAATGATAGGCTTTTGAACCAGTTGAATGCCAAAAATATTTTCCTCCATGGAGATTTGATATACTAGGAAGTATTTATGGTGCATTCACCGGGGCATTGTGGGGGGCGGGGGTGGTGGTTTGTTGAGTTGAAAGTCACTTATATGCATTAAGACATAATCTTCGTGCTTGGTTTAGGTGATTTGGTTTGGCATTAAAAAAAAAACAATTGTGATCATTTTGTTTTACATCACCAGCCTAAAATTGGTCTTATTGATGGCATGTTACAACTTCAACCCATCCTAGATAGTGATTAGGGTAACATACTTAGAGGTTATGGATTCAGATTGCTCTGTTCCCTCTCCATTTTTTAAATCTCATCCCTTTACTGTTGAAGCCAAAAAAAAAAGGAGGATGTTGTAAATACAAAAAATAGATATAAGATTTGATTATAGGATTAGATTGCAGTTGGATTTAGATACCTTCATTTTATACTCTAAATTTGTGAGTTTACTTTTGGGATCTAGATCATTCCACACTTGTATAGATTTGTATCTTTTGGAGTATTGTTGAAGTCAAATCATAGTAGATAAGTGAGGAAAATGACTTTAAGGTGTGCTGCACTTACTCGTCGCTATCCTTAATGTTTAATTTGCCTCTACAGATAGTGTACAAAAGAATTCTGTAAAATAACCTTTAGAATATGATAAAATCCTTATTTGACTATGTTTTGCACTAACCGGATCAAACCGTCGAGTATTCAACGTTTGTAAGACTTGTCAGAAGTGTTTTTTTATAGAGAAGAAAATTTAGAAAAGAATTGTGAAAAGTACTATGATGCTTTTTTGGTGTCTGAGTATTTGTTGTATCTTTCAATAACCATTTGATAATTAGTTATAAAGGGGGTTATGCTTGAACAATAAAGGAACACATCCCTTATTTAGGGGTGTAAACAAGACTAATCAAACCAAACATTCTAGTGTTCCAACCTTATTTGATTATTTTAACAAGTTTGTTTATTTGTCAAATCAAATTTGAATGAATTTTTTGTTAAGTTTAAACGTTATCGAATATAAAACGTTGTTTAAATTTGGTTTGACTAACTAGCGAATCAAACTCAAATGAGCTCTTACCAAGTCAAAATCAATTCAAATATCGAGTAGTTTAATTCATCTTTCAATTTTACCTTTGTTGAATTCAATAGCTAAATGAAGAGTTGCAAGACTCATACCTATTCAGGAAATAAATAACCAGATATAACTGATTTGGAACAAAAGTCCTATTATTTTAAAATTCTCCTACATAATCGTAGCAAGCGTTTACTGGACGCGATCCTTAATGTCGTGCAACAGGATAGGCATTTTGGCTTCCGTAGCAAAACTTTTGAGCTCGTCATTGGGGTCGTTGTGGTAAAACTTGATCTTATTCGACATGTAATCATAGAAACGAGAGATTTACATAAATAAAAAAGGGAACCCTTAAGTGTTTCCCTAAGTCCGCTTAAGACAAGATTCGACAAACTTCAGCGTCCCGACCGTAGCACAAGAGTATCCATAATGAATATAAAACTTCGAAAAAAAGAGGAATAAATAACTATGAGGGCAAAGTGCCCCAGTGGCCCTCAAATTATTATGAAATTTAACTTTTAATCCTTCAATTGTTAAATGATAAGTTTTAGCTCTTCAACTAATTAAAATATATAAATAATTTTATCCCTTCCATCAACTTGAGTCATTATATCTAACAGAGCTATAGGATTGATGAGATGAACAAAATGCCTCACTGGCCATCAAACTATTATAAAATTCAACTTTTGACCCTCTAATTATTAACTAACAAGTTTTAACCCTACAACTAATTAAAATGTATAATCATAACCCTTCCATTAACTTGAATCGTCATTGTTAAACAGAAACATCTATTGATAAAGAATTCGGAATATGCCCAACCAACTTGGTGCTTGGCAAATCAAGAAGGTTTAGATATAATGATGTAAAGTTCGGAGGAATCTCGCCAGAAAATTAATTATTTGAGAGATTTAGAAAATTCAAGTTTGGAAGAGAACCAACGTTTGTTGGAATATTCTTTGATTTATGTCATTAAAAGGCGCATATGAACCCAATGAATCTGGAACAACACCAAAAAATGAGTTAAATTTAAAATGAAGACAATTCAATTTCTTCAAGTTGCCTATCCTTGTAGGAATTTCTCTGTTTAGGGATATAGGTTTTCAATTGATTTTGTTCAAGTTGAACAATTGGAAATTTGGTAAATTAGTTTATGAGTCAAATGGGGTTAAAACAATTTTACCCTAACATATGTCTTGTGAAGATGAAAGCACCCTTCAGTTATGCCCCCTGCTGCACACATGGTAATGTTTTTATTCAACATAATGTCTCAAATTGATGGAAGGGCTAGTATTATACATTTTAATTAGTTGAAGGGGTAAAATTTATCAGTTAATAGTTAGAGGGTCAAAAGTTAAATTTTATAATAATTTGAGAGCCTCTGCCATGCATGTCGTGCTACTTCTATTAAATATAACGACTTAAATTGATGGAAGTGCTAAGCTTGCATGTTTTAATTAGTTGGAGAGTTAATAATTGAAGAGTCAAAAGTTGATAGTTTGAGGGTCACTAAAACATTTTGCCCTAACTATGAAAAGTAGAAGTATGATAGAAAGATTCAATAATAAAAACCCTAACCTTATTATAGGCTTAATTACGTACTGTCCCCTTACTTAAGGGTCCACAACAATTCCTCCCCTCCCCCCTCCCCCTAAATGTCTACACCACAAAATCCACAAAATGCTCCAAAGACTTGAGACTTGAACATATCTGGATAGCAAAAAGATAATCATACCATCATTGAAAAAAAAATTGCCAAATGACCCTTTTTTTTCTTTTTCCGTTTCTTTTTTGTCTTCTTTATATACCAAAAATACTTTTTCTATATTTCTTCTTCTCCCTCTTCCTTTCCTTTTATGAACTAAAAATTTCTTTTCATACTTAAGATGCATAGTTATGTTCTTATAACATATTATTTAATTATTGTAAAAAATTAAAATGTATATATTTAATAAATAGTTTAAGTAATTTTTTAGTTGGATTTAAATAAATGATAGAAGCTAAATAAGTAACAAAAATGTTTCACTTTAATTTTTCTTTATTCTTTTTTTACTTCTTTTTCTTTCATCTTTATCCTTATCATGTGTCTTGATGCCTAAATATGTGTTGTTATTTGTTATTATAAAAAATATATTCTTAATTTTGATAATAAACTAAAAATTATATATTTAAGAATCATATGTTATGTAATTTTTCTTTTACAAACTATTAAAGCATCGTCAACATTTTATTAACAATCAATGCATATTAGGGAATTGTTAATAAAAAGAAGTAACTCATTTCTTTGTATTGAATTATTGATAAATGTTTTTTATTTTTGTATGACAATTGATGATAATCCAACAATTTTTCATAAGAAAATAACACTATATATCTAAACAAGAAACAAATTCGTTAGCACTTTGTGAAGCAAATGTCTCGTGAAGATAATTCATAATTATAAATAACTAAGGTCTCCTTGTAGATAATGTGAAATGATTATTAACTATGTATCGTGGCAATTTTGGCGTGCAAATAGGTAGAGAAACTAGGTTGCAAGTGCTCTAAGTTACTTTCAACAAGGTGGAACGCCTGAGACATTGGAGTGCCGATACTATCGAATTCTTAGTCAATCAGCCACAAAAGATAGAGTGGTGCCCAAGAAAATTAAAAGGATAGTTTAAGCAAAGCCCACTATGCATGGTCCAGATTGAATTGATTTGCTATTGGATAGATGATATTAAGTATGGTATACAGCT